AATTTTAACTACCATTAATTAAATAGAAAATTTACTTATTTTGGTTGGTACTTTACTTAACAACGTTACCTATACATGTGGATGTACATTAATTATATATATATATATATATATATATAAACTATAAAAATGGCACAGCTAAATCTTTTAAAAAAGATAATTTTTCTGTAGTGTAAAAATCTCCACAATTCACAAATAAATTAAAAAGAAATTATTATTTGAGTAGAAAAATGCAATTTAAAAAGATACCTCTATTATAACAAGTTATATCTCTTGTTCATGCCAAGAATTACATTTATATTACTCTACCTGGAAAGTTCTCCCTCAGTTACGGTCTTTCATTTACAATTTGTGATGTAATGCAAATCTCATTTTATGTGAGAACATTACATGTCTAATTACATGCATGTTTCTTTCTCTGTTGACAATTTCTAAGCCAAAATCATTGCCTGTTACATGGTACCACCTCTACTCGATATCTAATTTGCACTTATTTTTACATGGTCACAATTTCCACCAAAACCACTAAAGTGGGAAGCATGGGTGTAGAATTCACTGGAAATAGGGGATGCTCCCCCCTCAACTTTTTTTTTTTTTTACAAGGAGATCATCCCCTCTAACTTTTAGACTTTGCACTGTCAATTTAGAGCTGCAATTTCTTCAATTCATAAAGAGAGGTAGTTGAATAAAGTTTGGTCTTGAGGAAGGGCAGTGTGTGATGAGTGGCAAGGAAGAGATATGAGAATATCTCATGACTAGCATCTAGGGCAAGCCAAGTTTCTTTGTTCACATTCACAGTGGGTACATTGTAGTACTAATACTGTTGTGTTGTTTAAGGTTTACTGGTAGCTCCTTACCCATTGTTGAACAATAATGATTTTCTGTGCATGTTCTTGGCTAAAAACAAAGTGAGATAGTTATTACGGAAGGTAAGTAGCAAGGCTTGAAATTACCACTCGTCCAATTTTCCAAGATGGGTGATCTTGTTTTAAGACAAGTGACAGCCACCAGTCCACCCAACAAGAGTCAACTGCTGTGACTGATGCATAAAAACACATGCCTGCCGTGCTGACTCTTGTTGGATCATTGTGCTGTGAAATGTTTGTAAACAAAACAAGTAAATGATTATGTTTATCCTAGAAGAGCTTTATTTCTTTAAATAAAAATTCTGCAACTGTTCATATTGAAGCAATTGAATATTTTTGAGGAAATTTTCCAATTGCTTCAGGATAATTTTTAGTTGAAAAGAGTTTAAGAATAAAATTATAACAGTTTTCGAGTTTCAGTGAACATATACATGTAGAAAAGGCATAAATGCGACACCTGTATGGCGAAATGAGGCCGAGAACTAGAACTTGTCATTAAATGTAAAACATTCCACTTTTTTGAAATAGAGATTAGACCTGTAATCACTTGGAGTTCACCAGAATTTGGAATTTAAACGTCATGAGGATAATGACACATTTAGTTAGTTTGGTGTTCAGTGTGCAAACATTTTGCAAAAGATAAGACTTCATCTAATAGAGCTGAAACTAGTAATTTAAAAAAGGAGCCTGTCTTGAAACATTTCAAATCAACATCACACAAAACTGCTATCAGTACAGAGAAAGCAAAAAAAAATTATTGATAAAAATGAAGCAAAAGACAGGTTTAAGAGATTGCAAAAAAACTGAAATGCCACAGAACATACTATGCAGCATTTCTTGAAGAGCCACTTATTACTTATTCAAGAGTACTATGTCTTACTCCTTAATAAATATCACATATAACAAATTAAAATGTTTTACATAGCACATTTTTCATTAGAAAGTGTAAAATGGTGGCTCATAGAAAATTCATTTAATTTTTAATGAGTAATTAGAATTAAATTTTCATAGAAAGTTAAGAGATATTAAGTGTTATGGAAAGAATATGTTAACACACCCAGGAAAAAAACCAATAACAGCATAGATATAGTACAAATATTTGCTGATTGAAGAAGCAAACAAGAAAAACTTACCATTGTTAAATTTTAAAAAATAATCATTCAGTAAAGGTAAAAAATATGTCTGAAAAAGAAAATTAAGTAAGGAGGGAAAAATAAAAAAACAGATGCAAAAGGACACTGTCCCAAATGTAAAGGAGGAGAAAATAAAATCACTTATAATAAAATCTATGGTCAAACTCATAGCAACATAACATTCATACCTAAAATTTTCAACTAAGAAGTTGCTACATTATCAAATGCTGAACTTTCAAAACTGAAAGTTCAAAGACCTGAAGCATGAATAAGTCAAACAGATTGAATTTACAACCCATAAAATGAAGACCTAGATTCTCCCTTATTATACTTATTATCAAAATTCATACATAACTAATAAAAGAAATTAAAAATAAAACCAAGTTAAAGTTAGAAATTTGTTTTAACTAACATGACAAACAACACTCATAAAATAAAGAAAACCCACCCATAAAACATCACAGCACTACTGTAAGTAATAAAGTAAAATATGTACGCTGCACAACACTCCAAATTATCATAATATGATAGAAACACTAGCAATAGAGGGGGGGGGTGAGACATGATGAAAGACACTATGTTCTCATACAGAATTTAATATACACAATATATATTGCTAACAGCAGGTAATGACAAAAGTCGAAAGATGTAAGTAGACAAAAAACATCTTATTCTTGGCATGAAAAAGGATGTAACGCAAGGTTAAAGTAGAGGTACAGTATTATATTTGAACTCCTACTTTTATGCTGAAATGTTTTTAATTCTGTAGTAACTAGCAAGGATAATTAAAATATATTATTTCAACTTTCTCTGTTCACATCACTATTTACAGTAAACATTAAAAAGTGACTGAAACAGAAATGGATGGTAATTCTGTTTATGTTATGTCTAACTATTATAAGACTGATACAGTCATTACTGGTAAATGAGTTTAAGGTACAGAGATGGTTCTTCAAATATCATTACAAAAAGTTAAAATGAAATTTAACCAACTTTGTAGTTAGTTGAAAGGGGTGAAGATAACATTGGCTCTTAAAACGAAGTTGTAACAGCACAGCACAAATTCAAAGCAGGTTAAGTTTGTAATACATACATACACACACAAGTATTAAGGCTAATTGTTCACTTTCAACCAAAAGATTGAAATTAATCTGAAACACTTTAAGTGGTCTCTACTAGTCATTATATATCTTGTACATACTTAACAAGAAATAAATGTAAAGATGCAAACTGTACTTCTAATAATAAAATGTCTAATTAACAACAAAAATGACAAAAAAAATCTGCTGATGTTACTGTGAAATAATGCAAAAACATGAAAATCCACAACTGAAATAGCCACAGCAAACATGAAGATGCTAATTATACTGGTGCCACATGTATCAATATAGGTATTAATATGGCACTTCAACTGATGCCATATTAAGTAACGTACATCTACTCAAGAAGAAAGCAAAGACAGGGCAAACTAAACAGACATCACAGGTTAGTACTTTCTCCATGAACATGTTTACGATGCTTTCATAAAGCTGTAATCATATGAACATGTAAAAAGGAGACAAAGTTTCTTATTCTTAATGGATGGATAAAGAATGATTGATTACAAAATATGTATATCGCATTAGGTAGTACTGACTAACACATACTACTGGATCTAGCATTATAAACATGGATAGTAGGCTCTCATTTTCCAAGTTATCTTTACAAAAAAGGTCACTAAATACTGTCTGCATAGATATAGAATTAATCAACTTCACAATAATTATGTGCTTTAATTACTAAAATCAAGATTTTTAGAATTCTTCATGAAATAATTTTGTAGTTAATCATAACAAAAATATAATTTTTGTTTCAATTTTTTTAATGGTGATAAGTATTTTTTCAGTTACATTTTTGCAGTATGTTTGAAAAAAGAATATTTATTGAAAAGTCATTGAATGAAAGGGTGTCATGACCCTAGCTTTCCGAGCCCCCGAGTGGTGACGTGAAAGACTGTGAATACATCTCTTCTTCAAAATCTACTGTTACAACTGTTGTTTGTTTAAAAAAATTAACTTACAACGTTGTTAACATAGTTTTTAAAATAGAGCTTCAAAGAAATGCAATACGTCTTAAAAGCAAGGTTCATGTAAGAGAAACAAGGTATAGTATTCCAAGGCTATTTATGTTATCAAACAGTCCAAAATAATAAATACTACAAGGAATGTTTTTGAATATATTCAAGTCCTATAACTAAGTATTGTGTTTTATACTTTTGTGTGTGCAACTTTTGATTGTAAAGTAATTAAAGCAACCATAAAGGTAAAATTACATTAACTTTACACATCACATTAAACCATTTTCACACAGTATCATACCTTCAAACCTATTTCAGTTATCTTAGCAATCTTTTAAGTTGTAGTTTTTGTTGCTTATGGACAAGAAATCATTGGAGGCACTAACAATGAGAGTCCTCTTATTCATGTCTAACAGGTCAGAATAAACCGAAAACTCCCAGTAATTGTCATACAGCTCAATTTTTCTTACTAAGTAAAGAGATGCTAGCAGCGTCGACCTTGTAAAAATTCTTTATATTCTTGATAACTTACTGCTATCTTCTCACTTCTATACCGAGTTAATCTTATTGAATGACGAATTTCCTTGGTAATAGTTCCTTTGAAGCCACCTTTTCTCAGTAAAGAGTCAATTGTCTGAATATGATCCCATCCTATAGAGGAAATAAACAAATCTCACATAATATTAAGGTCTTAATTTATGTAGCGTACAATATTTCTTGAACAATTTCCTGTTTCACATTATGTCCATCCACGCTGTAATAGATGTGCACTTATTTGGATAAACTTGTTTCCCACATAAAATTATTATTATTATTATAACATTTTTTTTTTACATTTTAAAACTTTAAAAACACATTGACAAGTAATGAATCAAATTAATATTAACTTCTCATCATAGTACTTAATCCAGCAGTCAGTACAGCTAATTAAATGTACTTTTCTTACATTTCTACTTAAAATTACAGACTGGACATCATATTTCTTTCTACTATTTTAAACAGTCTGTCTGTGGAATAATCCAAAAGAATAAATTTGTAGCATACACATTATATATTCTTCAAACCTAAATAAATATAAGTTCATTGTGGTGAATGATTGATAACCAGACACCATACATATATAAAAAGTGACATTGATGGAAATAACCACAATGCACACATACATTTTTTTTAAATATTCAATGAGTTTACGTACACGGAGTAAGAGAGCTTAAGTTAAATTCTAAGGACATAAAAATTTAAAAGCACTTGTCAAGCACAATCTTACCAATAGCTGTCAAAATCATGGAAGTAGAACTTTCATGATTTGTTTTGTAAGAGCTTATTCATGCTTACATTTAGCTCTTATTAAATGTAGTGAGTTTTCCCCATATTGTTCTTCACAAAGATTTACTTTTTGGTATTCTCTAAATACTGGACTCTGCTTTCTTTCATAAAGGGTAAGCAACGTGCTTGTATCACCTAAGGTCTCTTGGTAGTTGTGATTGTTGTCAAGATTTCCATGGTGTAATGATGTTCAGCACAACATTCTCATATAGAGTATTCATTTTTCCAGTATAGATGGCTTCAAAATGTGTTCATCATATAAGTTGAACTGTGGTTTCTAACAGTTTTCATTCAGTCCTTCTTTACAGATCATGACAGAGTAATCAACATGCATCACATCAAATTGGATGAAGTTAAATGAACACCGACTAAAAAATTCACTAAAGTAAATATCTTGAACATCAAAATCGTTAACCACAAATGTTTTCAACCTTCTTGAAAGATCTTTCATGCATTTCTACTACAAGTAATACAGCCAGCAGCTAAATTACATGTAAAAGCTTTAATGTACTGTGAAGTTACCATTACAGAATCTGACAAACCCAACTAAATTGTACAAGAATCCTTTATTAATTCTAACATAGCTTCTTTTTCAGTCAAATCCTTCTATTATCTATAACTACTAATCAAAGCAAGCCACCTACACAGATCAGGCAACCCACAGATAATGGGAAATACCTCAACCAGAAATCAAACCACACCAGTGTAAATAGAAGCATCATAGAATGCCTTGTTGCCAAAATGAACAAGATTTGTAAAAACAAAGAAATGAAGAGAAAAAGAATATATAACACTACAACCTTCCCCAACAATGGATACACACAACAATAAAGAAGAAAATTAAGATAAACATCAAGAATAAACAGGCAGCATTTTTAAAAATATTATACAAAGTGATAACGAATAACATTTTACAATAACAATGTTAAACAGTAATGTAAGTCCTTTCACAAGGTTAAATGAAATTAGTTTAATGACTTTGAAACACTAAAATACATTGTAATTTAGACACTAGCATTTATAGATGTACAGGATTAAATTTTCCTCAAAAAAATTGAAACCTTCTTTGAATACAACCATTAGATGTAAACTGACCTGATATTTTTTTTATTTCTTTATTGTTTATAAATACCATTATCATTATGAAGAGATAGTTATGAATTATCTACCCATTTTTTCCCCTATTTACATATTTCTATAGATATTTAGACTAATATATTAATCTCCATTTTTTGTGATGGCAGAGATACTAGCATGTTCATCATGAGAAATAATTTAAGACAATTTACACATAAATATAGAATGCAACTGATCTTGTAACTACACAAACTACAAGTCAAATTACATTTCATCTTTGGTTGAAGATTGAAATAATCTAACCTGGCAAAAATTTTTCATATACCTGGATAACTAATACAAACGAGCAAAGAAAAATGACAACTGTTCACCAGTATTTTTCAAGTGTAAAACTGCTTAAACATTCTACACTGAATCAAAAATAGGGTATGATTTCACACACCTTCGATGATGAAATACCCATTTCAATAAGGCTCAGTTAATCATAACTCTGATTTTGCACTAACTCAAGTACAAGTGACTGAGCTTCCAAATAGCTCAAGCAGTTAATGCATCCATCCCAACTAATAAGTTCTAGTACTAAAAGAAAATTTTTTGGGGAAGTAACTTGTAAGAAACAAAATATTGATTTGAAATACTATTTTTATACACCTTTGATTCTGAGTCACAATGGATAAAATTAAGAAGAATGCTTTCAGGCATATGTCTGAAATGGTCCCTTAGAGTTTTAAGCATCTTGGAGAGTAAGTACTTGTTTAGATAGGTAAGCATCAAGTACAGAAGAATGGGAGAGGGGGTCAATGAATAAGTTCTTAATTTTTTAATCATTTCAATAAGATAGTGCCTATGGGTTTAAATATTCTAGTCAAAAATGCTGGATGAAATAACTAGTTAAAACATATTATCTATCACATAATAATTAACTTTTCTTTCTTTTTATTCATAAACCAAAAATATTTTATATTTTGTCTACATGGCAACCTAACAAAAACACAAAAAATACTTAATTCTCATAAAATGAAGTTTCAATGAATAAAAAAAAAAAGACTTAAAAGTTATGTTGACGTAACTTACAATAGTAATATTTAATGTATGAACTGAACATAATACACATAATTTATTAAATACCATTTAATTATAACAATTAATACAGTACATTATCTAGTGTAACAAACCTTGTTCTAGTGCAACTTCAGGTAGATAAGTAGCTGTACGCTTTGAGCCCTTTTCAGTAGTAAATTCAATGTGAATGCCATGTTTTCCAATCTACAATAAATAGGATAAAAAATGTATAACACAATTTAACACAATACTCTTTTTCTGTCAAAATCTTCTGATATCTAAGCACTTTTCTGTTGTTCTGATCTGTGGGATTTGTCCTTATCTCTATGTACTAATTTGAAGAAAAAATTCACTGTGTGCAATGATCTATATTTAGCTGGTAGCTAGAAAAATCATAGCATTCATTCGCCATACTAAAAATATCTCCAGGGTTACTGATGATGAGTGAAATTCTCCCAAACCAGTATAACTCATTGACAAGTGAAGAATCAAATGATAGACTGGGCTTCATATTTATTTTAATATTTTAAGTAGCTTGTCTGCTGAATAATTCAGAAAAATAAATTACTAGTATCAATTCTACTTATTCTTCAAATCTTATATAAATAGAGATTCAATGTGGTGAGTAAAAAGATGACTCAAAACACTATCACAGCAAAACCCAAACAATGGCCACTGATATATAAAAAAAACTAGTCACAAAATCACACCTAAACAGAAAAGATATGTTTAAGAATTTGTTTCATGGGTTTCAAATAACAAAAGCAAATTACACAAAAATCCATACAAATACAAAGGTTAGTATGATATAGCAAAAAACAGCATTTTAAAAACGTCTACGTTTATGTTATTATAAGATGAAAAACTTTAAATTTAAATTACTAATCATTTTGGGAGGCTAATAAAAACAGAAATGATAGAAAGGTGTAAAAAGTCATATAAGATGTAACATAAGGATAAAATGTAAAATTTGTACAGTAATGAAAAAAAATATAATTTATAGCATTAAGTAGAAAATGCATTGAAATCACCTTACACTCAAACTCAGTAAAAGCTTTGTAAATTCACAGACAAATTCTTAGTAGAAATACTTTATTATAAAAATCCATTTTTTTGTGCAAAACAAATTTTTAATATTTACTGAAAGCTTGCCAAGTTTCATTAAGATACACTTAGTACATTCATGTTGTTAGAAAAACACATACGTTCAAGAAGTCTTGACAGAAATGAATAAAAACCCTATAACCCGAGCACTTTTGAAAGGTGGACATTTCTTCTTCAGGGGCAAACATAGTACATTCAGAGTTAATAGTTTCAAGGTTACATGATGGTTACAGGGTCAGTCAAAATGACCAACCTGTATGCAGTGTTAATCCAATGATCATCTAAAATTGAGTGTTACACTGTTATGGAACTTAGAGATCTGAAACACTCTCATATGAATACAAGGTTTAATGGAGAACTTCAATTCTAATCATAGAGTCAGTAGACTATGTGTAGTGACGGCCAAGGTACTCAATAGGCATAATATAAATATGCATGCTATAACTCAACAATAACAAAGATTTTTACTTTAAAAGATGATTGCCACTCATTTTTCTCTACCATACAAAGCCAAAAACAAGGCAAGAAACTATTGTTAAGATACCAAACCAGAAAGTGAACAACCCACCAAACTTTTCATCTTACCTCTTCTTGTTTCAGTAAGATAGCTCTACAACTACTTTTTCACTAACGTCAGTTTAAACCTAAATCCACTCTATATGTTTCTGGGCAGCACACAATGTCAGTGCTTAATAATAATAACTAGTAGTAATTTTAAAAAAATCATAATTCTAGTGTAAATGATGTTATCATTACCCCTTGAAGTTAGCTTTCTTACAAAAATCTGGTGTTCCTTTAACCCTATCTCAATGGGTCGAGCATTAACGGCCATGTCATCACGTTTGCTGACTTGCATTAAAAATTTTATTGAACTATGATTTTATGAATCTACATCAATAAGTTTGGTATCAAATTGTAGATTATAATTCAAATTTTAATATTATTAGTTAGTTAATTTCTGAATTAAAGGTAAACATTGAAAAAACACAGCTAAACATCAATTTTTGTGAGTCACATGGTATGTTAAAATGTAGCACTGGTTCAAGTTAGATGTTTGTGATGTCAAAATACAAAATCTACAGTTTTGTATGAACTGGAAACTCAAACTACCGATATTGACAAGCTAGAATATAAAATAAGAACATCTTATCTTTTCTATTTGCTAAGATATCGCTCCTGTACTGAATCAAACACAGTGGCCCCACAACCCACCTCTTTCCATTTTTCAAAACGGTCCCTTATATACACTTACTTCTATATAGGACATGAATAACCAATTTAAAGCTCAGAATGTCCCCCTAGTGGTTTTCTCAGCCATGTTGCTGTGCTATTGTGTTAATTTCTTTCTTTTCACACAATATTTCAAACGATAAGGTAAGTCTTTAGTGAGCTCAAAATTTCATATTTGTTTAGACTCAAATACATCTTGATAAATTATAGTGGAATTCTATGGTATCGATATTGTTATTTAAGATTTTTTAGTTATTTAAAATGTATATATAAAACTTAGAAAAAAAATTTCTTTTTACATCCTCCATGTGGGAAATTTCACAAGGCTTAGCAATTTATGACAAGTGGCAAACGAGTAAAAAGGTCATAACTAGAAGAGATAATTGTTTGCTTTATTTCTTTATTTAATATTTTATGAAAAATAAGTTTAAGAGCTTATTTGTAAATAGAAATAAGGTATATACATATATAATGTATAACAGTTGAAATGTGATTGTATTTTACACAGCCAAGATAGGTCACGATGTAAAGGTCAGCTACATATATTATTTGATATGCTAACACGAGTGCAAGTGCACCACATCATTGTAACATCTGTATTGTTAGCCAGGCATGCCTGAAAGATCAGTATAATAAAAACAATAAATAAATAAATATATATATATATAAATGTATAACGTTATGAGATTTAAGCTATTTAGACTAAAAATTTGTGTTTTTGTGTTATGATTTGTAGTCATTCTAGAACAAAAAAAGCATAATTTATATATATTTCCTAATATTTTATTAAGGTTACAGAGTTGGTCATATTGAAGCAACCCGTACAGAAATATACTAGTGAAAATAACGTATAAAATATAGTTTAAAAAAAATTTGAAAATTATCTGGAGACTATAAATATTTCGCATATGTGAAATTTGAAAATGTTCTAATGCATTAAAGTATTTTTAATCTTAAAATCAAAACTGCTTTGCATGTTGGACAGTCAACATTCTGAAAGAAAATGGCTTACGAGAAAATCTTTAATTAAAATATCTTAATACTTAATTTAAAAACCTGATATTTTGTGTTCAAAAACCTTGTAATGTTTACCAATAACCTGCAAAATTTTGTAAAGATGTGCATACATTATCAAACATCATAGTATAATCATTCTCATGGATACTTTCGTGGTTATGAGCTGGGTGGAATCCACCCAACCTGTAATAAAAGGGTTAAAACACTTAAATATAGGGTGAAACAGGAATTACCAACCAATAATAGATGAACATTAGATGAATGAAACTTGTAAAATACTCAATGCTTTGTACACTATTCAATTAGTGTCTTTAGGGAGCCAACTCCTATATTATGTATGAAGTGAAGAAGTAAAAAAAAATCAATACATGTAATATTAAATTTTCTTACAGACATTCAGTCAGGGGAAAAATTGTCACAAAACAAGTATAAAAAAAAATTAAAATGTAAAATGATGTAGGGATGGCAGTGCCAAAAAGAACGCAAACAAGAATATAGAGATGATACAAATTCGATGACGAGGAACCCACTTTGAGACTAATAATGCTTGGAGATGACTTGAATGGGTAAAGAAGAAAAACTTTAATATAATGATAATGACAAAACCTTGTTGAAACATTGTACATTTGCTGTTTTGTTAAATTTATATTAAAGTTTTTCTTCTTTACCCATTCATGTCATCTCGAAGCTTTATTAGTCGCGAAGTGGTTTCTTTGG